GACGGGGGATCGAACCAGTGACCTTCTGGTTCCAGGACGACTCCCCTAACCACTCGGCCACAGCCGCCCCTAGAAAACTAAATTATACTCAGGAGTTTCTCCTGCTGAGAGCGTTTGGGCAGAATTGGAAAGGCTGACAGAAAAAATAAAAATGATTTGAACTGTACATTGTTTGGTTTTCCTCCAGTGTTGCAACCTGTTTCATGTAACCAGTTTGTTCCTGCACACAAACACTGTCGTTGCATGATTGTTAAAGAATTATCCTAATTTTGTAATGCTCGTTGAGCTGCTTTGCTCTAATAACTTGTCAAAGCAAAAAAAAAAGATTGACGTTAACTGATCAGTTTTTTATTATTTTTATTTGTCCTTTATGTATACAGGTTGTCTCATTGAAATCCAAGATCTCATTTACAAGAGAGACCTGTTTTGATTAAAAAAAACAAACAAAAGAACTACAAGCATCTAAACAAGTTATGAAATAATTAGTTAGTAATTAATGAATTTGATGTAAATATGTTGTGAGCTATGATATCAATCCCACGATAGATTTATCAGCTGTTTTATCACTTTGAAGTTACTGCATACATTTCTGACAGTCCAGCAATAATGATACTTTATATCGCACCACAGGTGGACTGAGAGACTCATACAGGCTTCTTTAAAGCCTTGGTGCTAATGAGGTTAAAGAAAATCAATTCCTAGACACCATTTTAGTGGTTAGGAAAACAAACGAGGGTGACCGCACCAGCCAATGAACATGTCCCTTTTTGTGTGGCTGAAAAAAAAAACATAAACACCAAATAGACTTGAATGTTAGATGCAAATATAAAGAACATACAATACCGGTACCAGGCCAACCACAAAGTTTATTTTCTCTGCAAGTGGCGCCGAATCAGGAAATGCGTTTGTGTTTTAACAGTTTCTTCAGAACCTGGCCCACCCACTTCAAAACATTACTCTGGTAGGGGGAAGTCTCCCTGAGACCAGATTCTTACACACTTCCTGTCAGCTGATGAGAAGAATATCAATGTTTTGTCAGTGCGATTGGGGCGTGTGTTAACTAAGTGTCAAAGAGAGCCCATTCTATTTGAGTTAACCAGAACATGTCACTCAAATCAGATTGTACATCAACTAAATCACAGTTTAATCATAAAAATAGGTGATTAGGCAAAATAAGTAGTCCAAAAAACAAAACATTGTTTGTAATGTGTTAACAATCAGTGGTCAACAGAATACATTTCCTTCTATACCAAAGTGAAAAGATGTCACTAYGTGTAAGTTCAGAGTCATGTGACACGTCAATAGAAAATGCATAAAAAAAGAGTTCACCCAAATCTGAATTTGCAATGGAAGCTTTACTGAATGTGTTTTGTTTTTGCAGTGCAGCTTCATGCAGAAGTCTGTTATGCTGAGTGTCAACTCCAACGAGCAGCTCTCACCTTCCTGCAGGTGCTCCAGTGCTGGTTTTCTTCTTCCAACACACAATCGTGTTTCTCCTGAAACATGATCTAATAACACAGCTAGTTTTCTTCAAWACCATACAAAATGCAGAAAACATCCAATGAATTCTACCATGTGATCATTGAGCTAAACATAATCAAACTCTRATTTGACTTTCAACAATCTACATGTATGAATGTTGGTTTTATTTGTACTATAATTATTTCAYTTTTTTGCAGGATGAAAGTATGGTGAGTTTTATCAAAGGAGGGATTAAAGTACGAAACAGTTACCTTATTTACAAGTAAGTGCTCAATTAAAACAGTTTACATGAACATAACTCATTTTTATTATAGACTTGTAATTAGTTATTAATAAGTGTATGCAAATWATGACAACTATTATAAATCACTGTATTTGTCTTCTTGATTTTGCTGTTATTTTTAATTTGATAGTTTTTTGTCATGTTTGACCAGTGTTGTGTTAACATTAATACATTGCAGTTGCTAGGTGAATGTCATCTTAAGTTTTTATTTTTTCACTTTCAAGATTTAGAATACCACCCACCCCACCAAAAAATAAATAAAATATCAGAAGACAGAAAGAAAAAAAACAATATAGTCATATGAAAAATTTTGGGGCACCCTTGTTAATTTTCCTGATTACATTTATAAAT